TTTTCATCTAAAAAAAAAGCGACATTAATTTCTTGACGACTTAATATTATTCTAGAAGTCCTGTACTTAAAGAACTACTGTTGCAAATTTGGCCGCAAGTGCATTTATATTAGTGATAATGAAGATATTTTATTAAACATAAGATTAGTGATTTAAATAGAAAACACATTACTTTACATATTTTCATAATAGAAAAATCAACAAATGGAAAACAAGGTGTTCGCTTTATGAAAAAAAAACACTTTTCCTTCCATCATGCAAGAAACACCCACGTGCAGATGACTAAGAACTGGTTCAACGAATATCTAGGCTTGCAGGCTAAGATTGAACTAGTAAAATGTGTTAAGTTAATGTGTTTGTTAAACATCTGAATTCATAACCTACTCAAACAGTGTGTAGGAAAATAAGTAGGTAATAAACAGACTTGTTCATTATGTTGGCGTGAAGTGAAGGTTTACTCTTAAATAAAAAGTTGCAAGTTTTTGGAGTTTTGTTTTTACCAACAAATAGTGGGATTGACCGTCACATTATAACGCCCCCACGGCTGAATTGGCGAGCATGTTTGGTGTGATAGGGATTCGAACCCGCGACCCTCAGATTGTGCCTTAACCACCTGGCCATGCCGGGCCAGCAAGTTTTTGAAGTTAACATATAGTTTTAAAGCACATTTTGATAACGATAACATGATAAACTTAGATGTTTCTAATTAAATAACTTAAAAAACCTTTCTTGCAGCGAATTGTTTCCAAGTGACAAAACGCACCTTGAAATTACAAAAAAAAATGTATAGGTTATTTCACGTAATACTAAGACCACTGCTGAAGGAAGTAACTAAATTTCATACTTTTGATGTTTGGTACGAAATAATTCTAAATTTGGCACATTAAATTAGTAAGTTTTAACAGCTCTGAAATTGCGTGAATATACCACTATTGAAAATTTAATTAATTCTGATGTCATTCTGAATTTTGTTCTGGAATGTCTAGTGAACATTGGAAGTTTAGAAGCCATTTTAGAATACGTTATTTTATCCTCATGACTTCTATAAGTTTACTGTTTGTATGAACAAATATCGTATAGTTGTTGTAGATGTCACTGATTCGGCTTGCTATTTTTGGTTTGTTTGTTTGTTTGAATTTCGTGCAAAGCTACACGAGGGTTATCTGCGCTAGCCGTACCTAATTTAGCAGTGATAGACTAGAGGGAAAGCAGCTAGTCATCGGCACCCACCGGCAACTCTTGGACTACTCTTTTTACCAACGAATAATGGGATTAAACGTCACATTATAACGCTCCCACGGCTGAAAGGGCGAGCATGTTTGGCGGAACGGGTATTCGAACCCGCGACCTTCAGATTGCGAGTCAAACGCCCTAACTATGCCGGTTCTGCTATTTTTGGTAACCATTGTTTAAACTGATCCCATTTTAAATGCCGTTCAATGTTTAGATAAATTCCGTAGTTCATAGTTTCATTTAAGCAGCGCAGTTCTTCGGTTATTAAGCGGGAGAATTATGAGCGAGTTTGTTATATTAATGCGCCCATTCCAAAACTTTGAAAATGGCAAGTGTTTTTGTTCTATAGCTGCACCATCAATCTTCATGCACAGCAATGAACGTGTTTCTTTGAAGAAAATCGCCGTGGTCTTTTACTGATAGCTCTGAGTAACATGGTAAATTGATGAATAGCAACATGAAAGGCTGCTAATGAAGAGTTTCACACTTGCCTGTGTTCCGGAGGACGCAGAGATGAAGCGTGGCAGTTTCAATAGGATTTTACCTCAGTAGCGGCCATTTTGCCAAGTAGCCTAGTAATTGTTGCTGCAAAATGAGCTCGGTGTGTGTCCTTTTGTGTGTGGAATTCGATTACTTGGGCAGGAAGACCGACCGTGATCTAGTTAAGCCTCACAAGAGTCGGACCGCACAGCCTCCACAAACAAGAATCTCTAACGGGATTGAAATCGACGGAGAAACGGGAGCTAGACATGCCCTGCCTTGATCAACCATGTGTGAAAACAGGCTTTCTGATGTACGCTTGTTGATGGAAAGCTTCGATCCATGCTCCTAAATCATTTACCGCCATTATCCTCTCGTCCGTGAAGTCGGGGGTTTTCTTTTGAAAATAAAAAGCATACATACGCTTAAAACCGAGCAAGAAGTTTTTATCTGTAAAAAAAAATGTTTTCTGCATTACTTTCTAATTTGGAAAATAGTATATTTTAAAAGAAACAAAAAGATGATAAATGGAAAGTAAATCAGCTTTAGAGTATAAACATATTTTATCGTGTTAGGTTTTCCTATCAAAATGTTTTCAATATAAAAAAATATAATACCAATTTACAATCCCAATGTAAACCAAAACTCGGTGTGTTTTAAAATAAAGGCATACAGAATACTAAACCCCTATATATATATGTAAACACTAAACTCTCTATATATATATATGTTTGTTTGTTTAAGGTTAAGTACAAAGCTACACAATGGGCTATCTGTGCTCTACCCACCACGGGTATCGAAACCCTGTTTCTAGCGTTGTAAGTCTACAGACATACCGCGGTGCCACTGGGGGGCGTATATATATATATGTAGAACCCTAAACCTCTTATATATACATATATAGACTAAACCCTATATATATTTTTAATGTATTATATTTTCATAAACAGACCACTTACACAATGAGAGGGTTTAGTTTTCTGAGCTGTGTGTACAAAAGTGTAATGTGATTATGTGTGTGTGTGTGTTATACAAGACATAGTTGTTCGATTTCATTTGTAAAAGATAAAAAATAAATGAAAACAGATCCTGCCTGCTTTAAGTCGATCGATGGATTTAATACCGAAAGTACGTACGTATTCTCCGTATAAATATTCGAAATGACAGATCTTCTTTATTCTACTCCGTCCTCTTGCGAAATCTGGTATCATCAATTTGTTTCGTATGCAGACTTCCAACGAGCTGAACATCTCGGTTTTGGTTTTGATATCGTATTTCCCAACTGATACGAACCATCAGACAAGGGTTGAGTGAAACAAAATTACTAACTAATGGAGTTTATTTCTACATACACACTTCCAAAATAATGTAAATGACGAATGTTCCAAAAAGGTTGTAATCTCCAATAAAGCATTCACGTTATAACTATGAAATTAAGAATTATTATATTACTAAAACACTTATGAAACAGGCAACTTAAAGCTACAATGCATGCAAGAGCCTGAATGAAAGCCGTGACAGTCTTGTACTTATACTACATATAATGCAATATCAGTGTGTTCTTAAAATATATATATTTCTACAAACTTCATACAATTTCTTACCCCCCCCCCTTATTTTTCCGTTAACAGTTTGTGATGCCAAAATAATCTAATGTTGCATCATTTCTTTAACAGGATTCGTACATAGCTCAGGAAAGCTATTAGATCGAGTGTGTTTCGTGCTCGGTTAATTAGGACGTGTTATAGGATGCGTTCTGAAGTATTAGTTTATTGTAATTAAACTACCGACTCGTTATTATACCGTTTGGATCTACATATTGCATCACACTGAGTTAATTTTATGGTTTACACTCAGTGTAAAAACTGGCTAAAAACACTCATGTCGTATGCAAAATACGCAAGAAGTCTAATAGCAACATGTGGAATTAATGGTACTTTTGTGTATCTTATACGTTATTTTGTATACCTGTAATCAACAAAGTCATGGACCCACAGGTAAAGTCGTGGTTTAGAAACATTGTGTTTAAAAGTCGGCGGAGTTACATTTACTCTATCAGTAACTCTAGGATTAAATTTTTCGTTGTTTTTTTTCTTCTTTAAAAAATAGAATGAATTATACATGTACAACTTAACATACATTTTACTCTCTGTTACGGCTTATTCTTATTATACCCATAAGAACTATCATATCTAAAGTTGAATAATTATTAAGGCAACTAAAGAAAACTTGTAATATATGCGTTTGTTGTTTATTTTGTCTTGATATTTAAGAATGTCTTGTGATATGTAAACAGTTATGCTTTACTACCCGTGTCGTATACAATCTGTCACTTATAGTATTTTCGTATTTTTTCCTTACAGACCGAGATAGCAAAAAGACTTAACGCGATTATCGCTCAGATCCTACCTTTTTTATCACAAGAGGTAAGTTAACGTGACGAAGTGTGTTTATACAGTAAACCGTTTCCAACACGAGAGATAAGTTAACGTGACGAAGCGTGTTTATACAGTAAACCGTTTCCAACACGAGAGATAAGTTAACGTGACGAAGCGTGTTTATACAGTAAACCGTTTCCAACACGAGAGATAAGTTAACGTGACGAAGCGTGTTTGTACAGTAAACCGTTTCCAACACGAGAGATAAGTTAACGTGACGAAGCGTGTTTATACAGTAAACCGTTTCCAACACGAGAGATAAGTTAACGTGACGAAGCGTGTTTATACAGTAAACCGTTTCCAACACGAGAGATAAGTTAACGTGAAGAAGTGTGTTTATACGGTAAACCGTTTTTATCACAAGAGGTAAGTTAACGTGACGAAGTGTGTTTATACAGTAAACCGTTTCCAACACGAGAGGTAAGTTAACGTGACGAAGTGTGTTTATACAGTGAACCGTTTCCAACACAAGAGGTAAGTTAACGTGACGAAGTGTGTTGATACAGTAAACCATTTCCAACACGAGAGATAAGTTAACGTGACGAAGCGTGTTTATACAGTAAACCGTTTCCAACACGAGAGATAAGTTAATGTGACGAAGTGTGTTTATACGGTAAACCGTTTTTATCACAAGAGGTAAGTTAACGTGACGAAGTGTGTTTATACAGTAAACCGTTTTTATCACAGGAGGTAAGTTAACGTGACGAAGTGTGTTTATACAGTAAACCGTTTCCAACACAAGAGGTAAGTTAACGTGAAGAAGTGTGTTTATACGGTAAACCGTTTTTATCACAAGAGGTAAGTTAACGTGACGAAGTGTGTTTATACAGTAAACCGTTTCCAACACAAGAGGTAAGTTAACGTGAAGAAGTGTGTTTATACGGTAAACCGTTTTTATCACGAGAGATAAGTTAACGTCACGAAGTGTGTTTATACAGTAAACCGTTTTTATCACGAGAGATAAGTTAACGTCACGAAGTGTGTTTATACAGTAAACCGTTTTTATCACAGGAGGTAAGTTAACGTGACGAAGTGTGTTGATACAGTAAACCGTTTCCAACACAAAAGGTAAGTTAACGTGACGAAGTGTGTTGATACACTAAACAGTTTCCATTATAACGTCTTAATATTGCTTGATGGTTTTTATCATCATTTTCAAATTCTGTTTTTAGGACTATTTTTTAGCAAATGCGTGTTCATGATGTTGCGATGTTTTTTAGAATCACATTTCAAATCGTGTTTTAAGAAAGTTCTATTAATATTGTTGTTTTAAGAAGGTTCTATTAATATTATTGTTTTAAGAAGGTTCTGTTAATATTGTTGTTTTAAGAAGGTTCTATTAATATTGTTGTTTTAAGAAGGTTCTGTTAATATTGTTGTTTTAAGAAGGTTCTATTAATATTGTTGTTTTAAGAAGGTTTTAATAATATTGTTGTTTTAAGAAGGTTCTATT